TTAGCTAGTCACAGTAATCTAGTTTTGGAGAAAAATGAAAAAAGCGTAAGTGCAAATTAAAAATACGCCAACATATCATTTTTCACCTATCATATTGGCACAATTTTAAAAGTTCGAACATGTATTCTGTTGGAGAACTCGTGGGGAAACAGACACTCATACATTGCTTGTTGGGAATGTTAAATTGTACAATATCTATAGAACAAAAGTTGTCAATATCTGTCGAAATTGCATATGCCTTTACTGTCTGATCTGGTAAACATACTTCTAGGCATTTATTGTGAAGATAAATTTCTTCAATAATATAAAAATATAAATGTATTATTTGCAAATGCAAAATCTTGAAAATTACCTAAGGGCCCAGATATTTAGCTATAATTGAGTAAACTATGTTACATACACCATGAAGAACAATACAGTTGCAAACAGAATGAAGACAACCTATGTGAACCAATCAGTGTTTTCCATGAAGTATTTAATTTAAAAATAGCAGAATATGAGTTCATATACTATGTTACCTTTTACGTGAGAAAGAAGGGGAAATACATATACATATTTTTGCATAAAAGAATACAGGAAAAAAACAAAAAGAAGCTGGTTACCTACAAAGAGTTGGGGAGAACAGGGTGAAGGGATGAGGGCAAGAATGACATTTTTCTGAATTCAACTTTTTGGATAAATTTTACTTTTGGAAGCTTAGATAATGTTCCATATAAAAGATGGGAGTAACAAATTATATGCAAGCAGAAACAAATTTAACTATTAAATGAATACAATCACCACATGCTGAAATGAAGGGTGGGGAGAGACCAAAATAAAGTAACTTGAACATAGCTCTTTGGCTATAAAACCTCATTCTTAGGGGATTTGATTGAATCTACAATGTCGTTCATTGTAAGATACGACTCAATTTCAGAGATGTTAAGTTGTGTAAAAAAAGTTATCTTAGAGTCAATGGAATATGATATAATATGGGAAAATGCAAATTAGAATTAAATCGATAATGCAGATAAAAGTGTAAGAATAAGCACCAAATGCATCTTTAGAATATCAGGGAAAGGGCTCTTCTGAGATTTATGACAAATAATATATAAAGGTATATGTATATTGGAAGATTGACAATTATTGTTTAATTGGCACAGTTTGGGATTATAAAAAAGTTCTACAGATCATTCAGGTGAGGGTCGCTCCACATTGTGAATGTTCTTAATGCTATTGAGTTATATGCTTTAAAATGGTTAAAATAGTAAAATTTATGTTTTACCACCATAAGAAAAGTCACCAAAAAAAAGTATTGCAAGGAGATTTTAGCAGAAAATCATGGGCTTTCACACATTTGTCCTCTGCCACAAAACAAAACAAAACAAAACAAATTCCTTAGAACTTCTTTGCTCTACTCCAGGCAACTTTTAAGGTTTTGCCTGGGGAGAAAGTTCAAATTTCAGTTCAAATCGACCTTTCTGTAGCTGTTGCCTGGGGGAATACAATACTGTACTATTGGATAGGCACTTGTAAAATTTGATTTTCACAATCTGAAAAAGTAGGCTTTACTGAGCCCTTTTGATGAAGAATCTGAGTCTTGGGGAGATTTTTTTTTTTTTTTTTTTTTGATTGTCCAAAAACACAGCTGGGAATTTGGCAAAGCAAGATTGGAAGGAACCCTTGCCTTTTGATACAGGATATTGCTCTCCTCTAGGGTTCAGTTCAGCAGCATGTATGTACCTCAAATAGAGGAAGTATGGTTGTTTAGTACTTGTTCTTCAAGGAATCTGGCAGCAGTTGCTCGGTAAATATCTGGTGAGTGAACAAATTATTAGAACATTGCGTAAACACTGGTAAACGCAGTGAAGAATGCTGGATCTGGTAGGGCCACAGAACAAGATGCAGAACAATCACCTCATTTTTCTGATGCCAAATGGGGAGATTCGAGCTGTTAGGGCCCCACAGCTAGTTAGTGGCAGAGATAAGGCTAGAAAGAACTCATTTATTCACTCAATATTGAATGCTTCCTGTGGGAGAATGCTAGACTCTGGGAAGACAATGTTGTTGAGAAAAGGCACAAGCTTCCCCAATCCTCCAACAGGGCGCTGAAAAAGCACTGCAGGAGACTAAGGTGGGGACAAGGTTCCCAGAGAAAAGGGCGTGAAGAAAGAACAGGGAGAGCTCGGTCTGCACCCGAAGTGGGGGAAAACGAAGAGCGGAAGGAGGAAGCAAGTGGTGGAATCCTTGCCTCGCTGGGGCCGTTTCTCCGCCGAGCCACACGGAGGCGCAACATCCCTCCTCGCGTCCTTCGCCCTGGCGGCGGCGCAGCCTGCTCGCCTTTTCCCGGCGGAAATGCCCGGGCGATGACGGAAACCCGGAGGGAGGGAAGAGAAAGGGCGAGAGAGAAGAGGCGAGAGAGGCCAGCGGGCGGCAGGAGGCAGCGAGTGGCCGTCGTCGGGTGGGAGCTGCGCTGAAGTCCCGCGCCGCGCCCCCGCACGCTTCCCCGCGCCTTTCACCGACTCCCGGGGCGCGCGGCCGGGCGGCCGGGGGTCTGCT